GCTCTTCCTCCTCCTCCTTTCCCCATCCGGAGCGGGATGGGCTCCAGGCACCTTCCCTGCCTCTTCCCTCCTTCACTCCAGCCCATGAACGTGGGCTGAGAGACCAGACTTGCCTGTAAAACACTCCTGTGACAACAGTGCCTCGCTGCCTGCACACAGAAAATATCCAAGGATTTCCGGAACTGCTCTGGGATGCACACGGAGAGGCAGCTTTGTTCTGTATTGCTGCAACATCCCGTTTGCTTAGGAATTTCTTAGTACTTTTTAGTATCACTGACCTTTTCACTCTTCTCTGCTCCTACAATGCACTGTCCCATTTTAGTTCTCTCTTACACTCACAAATGGAATTAGATCAGCAATGTCTCCTTGGAAATACTCAGGCTTTTCCCAGAATCTGTACATTCTTCACAGATTCTTCGCAGAATCATGAAAATAAAGTTAATACCAACTGAAATTCATATTTTAAACACTGTATCAGCACTGATGAGCAGGAAAGTTCTAACTATATTTACAGTTTAAAAGAAAATTCCTTCTGTTTTCTAGCAGGTAATCCTGAAGACTGGAGTGGCTTCAAAAGGGACTTAACTCTGGGATTTAGTTTAAAATTGAAAAGTATTTTTTCAGCATTCGATCACATTCACAGCCAAGTCAAACAATAACAAAAATATAATAATGTTGTATAAAATAAGACTCTGCAGCTATGAAGTAGGAGGGGAAGGTAATATTTGAGATATTCTCCTCTAAACCAGTGGTAAAGAACTGTGACATTCACTAAAAGCTGCAGGGTCAACAAACCTTGTGGACGATACTTCAGCTGCTCTGTGTCACTACCCATCATTTAAGCATCCTTTTTGCTTTACCCTGGCTGTTGGTGTCCAGGAACATAAGAGAATTCAAAGTTAATTGGAGCTGGGCTTGTATTTGGGGTTGGGAAAGGAGTGAAGACTTCCACAAGCCTTTTATAGTTGCTGGCCTGCAAGCACAGTACCTTATTACTATTTAATAATTGGAAAGGAGTCGCTCCAGTGCTTTAGTCCTGCTTTTTCCATTCCTGGCTTTGCTCCACTTTTCCTTTCCTACAGCAGATCTTTCCCTGTGTTATTTCCAGAATTAACAAACCCCATTCTTCCTCTACAGTCCTGTGTCTTTCTCTTATGCTTTCTGTTTATTAGCACTGAATAAATACTTGCAGTTCAGGTAAACTCATTCAATATAAAACCACCACACATTGCTCCCAGTATGATTTTTTCCCCTTTTACTATAAGATGAGGAATACAACTCAATTCCATAAAGTGTTTTGTATTTACAGCCTCCATTTCTAAAAGAAAGCGAGAAGGCAACTTACTTATTTCTTGTTCTTTTTCATTTTTTCTTTGTGCGATTTGCCTTTTTAACTTGTTTACATCAGCTTGAAAGGATTCAACAACACGCTCACTTTTTTCTACATCTATACATACTGCCTAGGAGAAAAACATAAAACAGACTTAGATTTTGCAAAAATACAGGAAAGACTTCTACAACAGGATTAACGAAGCTTCTAGCAGCCAAGGAGCTACTAGAAGCACAAAATTAGGAGCAGGAGTCAAATATATCAGATCACAAAATCCAATCTGAAGGTTAATATTTTTCTTCACTTGCCGTTGCCAACTTCTGCAAAATAAAAAAAAAGCATTTCCAAATAATTCATTAGGAACAGGAAAATTTTCATAAAGCTTCAAGTCTCTTCCATCAGGTGGGATAGTTTTGGATTTTCAGCTAGAACTCAAAACAAGCCCATAGCCATAGATATATTGGTGTTAGCACAATAATGATATTATAGCAGCATGATTTTAAAGTGCAACATAAAAGGCTCATGGATACGGCCCTATCTGGGGAAAGCAAGCGCTGGCACCACTGTCCCAAGCTGCTCTGCTGGCTGCTATCTCTGTTACATAAGTGAGGCCTATAGATTTTTATTATTTTTAAAATTTCCTCTATACTAACTGCGAAAGGAAGGCAAAATCTTCATTGAAAAGCCCAAGCTTAAAAACCATGCTGGAATTTCTTTTCAAATCCAAACACATTACACCATATATTGTTCAGTTCTTTAGAAATTAAATATTAGGCAGTATCATCATTATTATTATATAGCCGAATAATGCTAATAAAGGCTTATCTGCTTCTGGACAAAAACAAAACAAAAAACCCCAAACAACCATTATTTCCAGTCCCGTAACATCCTCTACTTTGAAGATAAGACTTGCCCATGTTAGCATGGGCATTAGATTTATTTTTAAGCTCTCTAAACCACGGGGAGCTGTGTGATCTACCCGTTGAGAACCAAGGAACATGCTGAACGGGGAGGAAGGCAACTCCCCCATGATGTCACGTTTTCCATTTTTCCAGACACCAAGTCAAACAACAGCAAGAGCGTGAAAGCGGCAAGAACAGCATTAAAGAGTAAATACCATTAGCTAATGGGATTGACCTCCGAAAATAAATAATTTTCCTGTCTCCTGGAGCCAGCATGGAAAGTGCTCAGCCTCCTAGGTGTGAGCTACTCACAATGCAGGTTGGAGAGCAGGAGCCCAGGCTGAGCTTGGAGCACTCAAGTAGGAATTTAAACTAACAGATGGAGCTTTCTCTGCTCTCTCATATATACCAAGACCCTCTGTTAAACAAATTTGCCTTCAAACCTGTGCAGATGCCTTCAGCAAGGCAATGTCACCCTGAAGTCACTGCTCTAACTTGCAAGACGCAAGAATGGAGGATATTTGGACCAATAACTTTTGGAGCGGACACTGCAAATAAATACATAAAATAGAAAAAGTTCCATTCCACTACTGAAGAAGAAAAATATATGTATATTTATATTTCAAAGTTTATTTCCCATAGTTTGCAAGAAATATTCTATAGACTCTAAAAAGTCTTCATTCCTCACACCTGTTGTTGATCAAAGGATAAACAAAGGTTTATACAAACTGACCGATATTAAGGTTAGTTACCTGTACTTTTTCCTGAAGTGCATTATAGACTTGATAAATAGCCCTGATGTCCTTCATCACTCCATCTTTGTCAAAGAAATCAGTACTGTCAAAAAACAAAACAAAAACACACACAAGTCATTAGTTTGAAAAAACATAACACAATTGGAGATTTTTGCTATCTTTGAGATGCTGCTAAGTAGTCAATTTTTAAAATATATGTTGTATTGCTAAGAGGGAATTATCTTAGAGAGCCAAAACTTGGGCAATAACAAAATCATATCTTTAAGCTTTTTCTGCAACAGACTGCACTTCATTTAAAAAAGGGAAAAGTGGAAGGTGGAGGGCAATGATCCAAGCACACACTTACCCATGTTCCTTAATAACTTTGGCATAATTCTGAGAAGTATTTGGCACTGAAGAAACTTTGTATTCCTGTTGACTAGTGTTGCCAAGGTTAGGAATAGTAAGTGACACCCTTTGATTATACCTGTTAAAAAAAAAAAAAAATTAGAGTTCCTTACTCATTTTTCAGGAGGTTCTTTACACATTAGTCTAGATACTGTTTCATCCTCCTGCTAATCACAATTCTTCTGCATGTAAACCTTCTAGGTTAGTTTTACAGATACAAAGAGAGTGAAGCCACGCTCAGGTCTCAAATTTAAGAAGAATATGTTACTAAGTCATGATTTCTCTTAAAATATACTGGCTTTGTTGGTCTGAAGAACTTTCACTCATCCTAAAACTTCAATTAATAAACTGCTTGCACAGAAAAAAAAATAATCACAAGTATCTACACAACAAGATACTGTTGGATAAACAGCAACCTCAATGCACAATTGTAGAAGATGAAAGGTAGTTTTAAAGTTTCAAAATAGACAAAAAAACACAATAAGCAGCAGAATTTAAAAAAATAAATCAGGAGCAGCTCACATCCAGATCCCATTTACCTTCGGTTTGGTCTAAAAAGCACATATTCTAGGGCATGCGTGGAGTTATTTGCAGTGGAAATGAAGCTGAAGAGAAGGAAGACAAGGTCAGGCACTCCGAGAATGTGTGTCAGCTGCTTGTGAATGATGTGCTCCCTGTACGACATCTGCTGCTGAGTGTTTCTCCTAAATCTGTACCATCCAATAACATTCTGTAACCAAAGCACAGGAGAAAAGGGATTAACTGAGATACAGATTTACCTGCTGATAAAGTTACTATGATATAATCTGAATGAGCTAATGCACAAAATTATTATAACTAAGACAATTTCTGTGTCCCTTTACAACCTGCCATTTAATTGCTGTCTAGTACAAATACCTGCATATCCTCAGTGGCATTTAGGATCCTAGATTCAATATGAGTTACACTTTAATTATTTAACCTTCACAACAAAACATGGAGCATCTTCCAATTATTCAGTTTGTTCAGTCTTCCAAGAGAGCATGTTTATTTTCCTTTATAGCCTATATGTTTCAGCCCCCTACTCACTTGTATTACTTCCATTTCCAGGGCTATGCATCACCAAACACACTGCAAATTCCTGTTTGTTCACGAGCTTTGGGACTAATCTGCTGGGTTTAGTGATAAAATTATCTCATTTAATTGTGAAAGATTTGTATGCACATCAGATAAGACCCAGTCTAATTCAATGATTATCTCAAATGCAACATGTATTTAACTCTTATTTCAGGGAAACTAACATTTAATTTACAAGAATAATGAAAAAGGACACATCATTAACAAAGCGTGGCTTAGAAAGAGTCCAAGAATAGACATGAGTACACAGTGATACATAAAAATATGCAATATACACAGGAATGCAGCAGATTCTACATATGTAAGAACACAGGACTCCTGAATTAAAAGCTATAAGCAGCAACGATTTTGTAGGGAATTCTACAAAATTACATGCATAAACCATGTTTATTTTGCTGCTAAAAGAAGAGAATGTAAGATTGGCTTCATTCACAGACAATAGTACTTTTCCTATTTGATATAGTGACACTAATATCATTAAGGCTGTTGTTCTTTAGTCAAATAACATTGCAAGTTCTCATTTCTCCAGTTGTGCCAGTTTTCTCACCACAGATAATACATCTGCATAGATTTCAGAGCCAGGAAGGTCCTAGCAAAATAAAATTTGGTCAAAAAACCATTGGCACCTTGATTTGTCTTATTTAAGAAAAAAAAACAATTTTATGATTTTTGCATTGTGTCCTGATGGGAAACTTAACATGACCTGTTTGTAGCATCATAAAGTAGAATTATGGAATTACCAGAATTGAGGATCTGGGACTGGAGACGCACTGCATCAGCACAGAGATGTGTGTGTGTGTGTGTGTATATATATATATATAGATATAGATATATATATATGCACACACAGAGCATGTATGTGCTATAGGCACACACAGAAGAGAGAGTACTCAGTTTGTATTGGGAGAAATAGACAAAAAAAGTATCATAATGATCGACGTTGCAAGAATTGCACAAATTTAGGGCTTGTTTCCCCGCAGATCCTTTTTCAATTTAAGCCCTGCCCGCAGGCAAAAGTCCTGGGTGCAGATGGCCAAGGGATCAGAACGTGAAGATCCCAAACTCAAGCAGCACTCGAGTACCTGTCCTCACACACTCTGCAAACTTTGACTCTCCAAGTTAACTGCTCTAATTTTATTCACTTAAGGGTAGCTATGCTACTAACAAAATATACATGATATAGAGCTATAATATCTGACATATAACTACCTTCTGATACAACCACTTTTCAGCTTAGAACTACTGGTGCAATACCTGCAAGGCTACGTCACGACAATTTTTTCTACCCTTTAAAATTGAGTCTTTGGAACAGAATTTCAGTTTAGCTACATTTTGGCACCCCATTGTAATTGTAGGAGTTTAGCTCTGAAATTAGACACACAGTGGGTCTGGAGACCTGAGATTAAATTCTTCAGAGTATTTAGATGTTATTCACAAATTTATGTAAGTAAAAAATATTACTACAAATCCACCAACTTCTGCACGGGATAAGTCTCGAGTGAAAAAGAGACTGTTGAATTTGTGAAAGAAAATTTGTGAATGAAAATATTTCTGCTAGTTAACTCCTTGTTTTTCCATTTGTCAATACTACTCTAGTTGCAGACTCTAGAAGGACTGGATAAAGGACTAGAAGAGGAAGAAAAGACAGAAAACTTACTTTTCTTCGATCTTTAAGAATCCTGTCCAAACTCTCCTCATTAACCTTGCCTGCATAGTCATAAAAGCTTGAACCAAAAAAGGAAAAGACAAATGTAGGTATACAGTTTACACATGCATTATTTATAAAATAAATAATTTAGACTTTGATGATGTTCTTCAAATAGGTGGCATTCTGTAAGTCACCAGAAAACCTCCCAAGTTTTACCTTTATGAATACGGGTCAGTATTCACACCACCTGCTTAAGACACCCAAGTTGGGTGCACAAGGTTAGAAGCTGGGCTGACTATTCAGTTAAGAGAGAGGCTCACAGAGGAGGAGGCAGGACACTGAGATCAGGTGCATGGGACTAGCTGGTGCAAACGGCCTAACCACCTTTAAACCACCAGAAATAAACTGTAACATGCCTGTAATTTTTGGTTGTAAAATGCTTTCATTGCACACATTAGTTTGATCAAAGTGTTTCACCCTACAAGCAGAGTACATAAATGGACCATGTAATTTTCTTTTCATAAGCATTTGGTCGACTCCTGCTTTGATAACAGAAGCCCTACCTGCCAAAGAGGAAAGTAGGGCCCTTTTACATGCATCTATATATATAAATTTCCTGAGTTCCAGTCCTGAAATTAGACTCATGTGAATGGACCCCTGCAGCCAAAATAGTTCTACTGAGGTCAGCAGAAGCCCAAAGAAACACTGGGGTCTTTCCACATGGTTCTATTTACAGGACTGAGGCCCAATACCTAACAAACAGTTTTTCAGGGGACATCACCAATTTAGGAATTTATAAACCTACCTGCACAGATAGGGTTACAAATTCAAATGGACCACACTTCATTATAAAAGGAAAAACATTTGAAAATAGATTCCTCCTTGACTTACCTGCCAAGTCCTTAGTCTCTTTCAAGAGCTGATATCACTAACACCTAAAGCAGTGCAGGAAAACACTCTGTTTTAGAGGTCTATGATCTCAACTCTTGTGGGGAGGAAAAAAACAACAGAAAATCCTAAACTCAGTACTTGGCTGGTAAATAAGGTTGGAAATAAAGTTTGCTTTAGTAGTCAAAATAATTTGCATATTAAGACCACAGTTAATTACAAATTTGAGACATAAGTAACATTAGCAGTCTTATTTATGCATTCTTGCAAGTAATATATAACCAATTCTGTCTCTGTGATTCACTAGAAGAATTCTCGTATGGGATGAGCTACCACACCTTCCTTTTAAAACTGCACAGATTGATAAATCTGGCCTTAGAAAATGCTTATTTCTTGCTCAGAGGCAAACGTACTCAATAACAGCAATGCCAGCTTGTAAGAAGGCAGAGCAGATGAGCCATAGAGGATGGTGGCTACATTTAACTCAATAACGTATAGCAGAATGCCCCAAACAGCACCAATTACAGCTAAAGGTAGAGCAAAAGGGGTAAGAAAACCTGACCTCCCAGTGTGGTGCTGATACAGATTATTCTTGCGAAAAAGCATGCTGTGAGATACAGGCTTCTACCCCTTCCTCCAGCAGCTCAGTTACTAACAAGCAATTTCTTGACAGGGAAGAGACAGGAAACATGATCACTTTTGACTTGCATCCCTAGGAATCAGGAAAAGACTAGCAGACATCAGGTATTACGTGCAGAAACTCTAGCATATGTATATGTGTGTGTATACATATATACACACACATATATATATATATTTCACTGGGATAAGTGTGCCCTCTGTGTAATTATCAGCTAACAAATGGCAGACTGGAGCTTTTCTCTCTAATGTAACTAATGTCAATCATAATATCTAAGGTACTGAGTCTTCCTAATTGTTTAGAAGTCTCTAAATGAAGACACAAAGTCATTTACTGGGAATTCCTTCTAAAAAGGATCTCCAGAGAGCAATTCAGAAGCTATGGCTGTGTAACAAACGGAGACTATGCAGGAAAGTTGCAAGTAATAGATTAAGGCTGCTAAGCAGAATATATAGACCTGCACTTAATTTTAATTTAGGAATACAGAAAATCAGAAGCAAAAAAAATAGTATGCTGAAAGTTCAAGAGTAATGAGCTGCTAGCACAGTCAGTAAAGCTATCTATAAAACCACCTGTGTGCCTGAGCAATCTTGTGAAGCAAGGGCAGACAGAGCATAGTGAGACTTTAGGGCAACATGGCTTAAGCAGCACTAATCCGAGCCTCCCATTTAAATTGGCTTTGACATTTGTCCTCATTACCAGAGTGACACGATGTGACCCGACCACTCTCCACCTCCAGTACCTGAAGTAGAGTTCAAAGAGGAGGAGAACAGGGCTCTATTAGCTACCCAAGCACCTTTTCTAAACCAAAATGTTGTATTATGAGGAGTGTTAATAAAACTGTCAACTCATGCTTTCCTCAGCATGGCCGGTGCCATTTACGCACATTTCTGTAATAATATCAGACAATAAAATAATGTAAATATTGTTAGGTACATCTAAAACACTCGTGTATTTCACTGAGCTACCTTTTTTTTTTTATTTTTTTTTTAAATACTCTGCATTAACCCAACTACACAGCCAACACAGGAGGGTAACAGAAAATGCTTACCTAAAGAGTTTTGAACAAGGCTCGTGGTTATGGATTTCTGCAACAACAACAAAAAAAGACATATGTCCAGCTGCTCGAGATAAAGGGAAATTCTAGCATGTACCCTGCACAGTCTTTCCACATCACAACTGGCGAGCAATGAAACATTTGTGTCAGACCACACACCGCCCTGCGAGACTTCCCACCACATTTGGGAAGTAACTTCTCTTTCCAGTCTTTGCAGGGTGGAAAATATTTTAAAAATACATAAGCCTCAATTACACTTCTTTTTTTTTTTCCCCCCCTTCTGTCATTGTAAACTGCTCACATAAGTTCTTCTAGTTCTTTGCTCTTGCTGCATTTTTTCCACAACAGCTTGCTTATGTTCATACACGCTGCTTGTTGTAATGTTGTGTATTAGGGTGTTTAACTAGACAAAGGCAAATACTTTAAAATAATCCAAAATGATTAAGTCCATTTTCACTTCATGTAATAGAATTATAAGTTACCAGAAATTTGCTGCAATTTTTTTCATTCTAGATGTAGCAATAAGTGCTAAGATGCTTATTTAAGCAGCAGATGTTGTAAGATTCCAGCAGTCAGAAAGAAGAAAGCAAAAACCCAGCGTACATGCTCTCTCACACCAAATATGACTTACAGAAATATTAAAGCCACTGAAAAGAATTTCTGCTACTCAGCTGTCTTAACATTTCTTCATGTTTTTCTGCCTTAATCCTGTAGTTTTCATCCTAAACTGTACTTGCTCAGCTGAGCAGAATATATAGACCTGCACTTAATTTTAATTTAGGAATACAGAAAATCAGAAGCAAAAAAATAGTATGCTGAAAGTTCAAGAGTAATCAGCTCAGCTGAGCAAGCAGCGTTTATGCAGAAACAATAGGAAGCCCCTAGGTTAGTTCCCTGCTGGAGTGTTTATCAACAACTCGGTGGAGTGCCTTCCTTCCTGGAGGATGACTCACCAGCTGCTGCTCACGCCTGCAAGCCCAGCAAAGCCGGTATCAGATCTCAGCTCCCAAGAGCAACAGGCTGCACACGTTTGCACCTCGGTGTATTCTGCCACTATCCAAATAAATGTCTGCACCTCCGTGGCACACACACTGCCAGGGAAACGGGAAGTTTTCACTGGCAAGGACAACTTTTGATATTGGTGTGAAGGCTGCGTGTTGGAGTAATTCTAAACAAACCCTAAAATCAGAATCAACTCCGCACTGTCATTCAGGCATACATGAATCTGTGGGAATGATTTGCTAAATGAAGGCAGTGTATCAAATTATTCCAGCTTATAGCAACTCCTTCCAGCAAACACTTTGACTGTAATTACTGAGAACTCATACTTGATTCTTAGGTTATGACACATTTACACAGACCTCATCTTTTGGAGGAGCAGCAGCAACAAGGCTACTGCTCAGAACATGCGAAGCGTCTACAATCCTCAATTTGAGCTTTTAAAACTCTGGTAACTTCTGCATGTACATGTATTCTTAAACATATACAGCACGACCAAGCTTTGAGAGAGCCAACACAAAGTGTTGAAACTCATTTGCAAAAGCAGTGCTACAAATCTGTTAGTTTGGTTCAACTCTTGAGCTCCCACTTCAGCTCTTCATGTATCTGCATTTCTATTTCAGTGGGTATTCACCAAACAGAAAAATATTCAAAAGATCTCAAAAAGTATTATTTTCCCCTTTTCAAAAAAACAAATAAACAAAACCCTAAATTTGAGAATACAAAAAGAGTATTTTAACAAAGAAGTATTTTTAATACCACAAACACTTAGTTTAGGAAGCAACAGTGAAGCTGCAACCAATATGAGATAATACTGTTAGTTTGTCATCAACAACCTCAATGAGTTACTGTCGAATAGTCATGACTAGTTTTGTCTGAACAGCTACAGATATCTACTTTCTGTTTTCTTCTAAATGTACTTTGAGAGCCACTACATATACAAAAAAAGCCACAAAAATAAAAGGATGGGCTTTTTACAATTTTCTCCTTTAACTTAGCTTAAGGACTAGTACAGTTTGATCACTTATTTCAGCTTAGAAATAATCAGAATAGAAACCTCCTTAACCTTCACGATTCTTATTCACACAATTGCCCCTACTTTAATGTGGTATTTTCAGACATAACAAGAGTACAAGTTTCTGAAACTATCAGTTTTGTATTAAAACCTATTTTGAGAGCCAAATGCAAGATATCTGAGTATTAGCTAAGCTTGATAGAGGCCCTGCTCTGCTGTCTGGAATCTGATCCACAAACCAGCAGATTTCAGGACACAGGAAGTCAAGTACATATACATGAGAACTTTTATAATAAAGCTTACATGAATTTTGAGTTACATACGCACATACAAAAAGGACACTAAGCCATTATCATTCCTTGCAGGGGCTTCTAAATTTCTGTAAATCAGCCAACTACCCATGACTGCTTTTTACACACATATCAAAATATTTATTCCAATCAACAACAGCTCAACCAGAGATGCCAAATCTTAAGATTCGTGAGAATCATATCCCTTTACCCACAACAGCCAGCTTTACAGTATTGCGCTGCTTATCAAGAAAGAAAATGTTTTGACTGCCTTTCCTGGGCAAATCTTGTTTTCACTGTTACCACCCACTAGCTGCACATGCAAACTCTCTGCTGGAAATCCTCCCCTTTCACTATTAGTAACTGATATCATACAGATTTATTTTATTTTATTTCGGGCACATTCCTGCGTGAAATTCACTGCAGGACCAGAAAACAAGTAACTCATTTCTCCATTACAAAATTCAGGTAAGTGTCTGCAATAAAGGGTAACTTCCTCACAAAAGGACAAACACGTAACACACCATACCCAGGAAAAGCCTTTGCTCACACCTCAATAACGCAGCAAATGGCTTAATAGCAATTTTGAGAGACCGGAAAAATCTTACATCAAAAGAAAAAAAAGAAAGAAAAGAGGAGCAATGTTTCTTTGGGAATTTCTGGGAATTCTATTACTTACCAATGACTTGTAGAAACTCGGTGTTGCTGATCTGCGAGTCACTGATGCTGAACGTCTCTTCTTGCCTTACCTCTCCCAGCAGGAACCCTTCCTGCAATATCAACGGAAAGGAGAAAGAAAAAGAGAGACTAAAACAAAGAGAAAACCACTACATGCAGTCATACAGCAAAACTTTCTGACTGTTTCAGATTTTACGCAGAATTTTGGCTTAAAGCACACATTTGGGCCAAGCAGCCCTTCGATTTACCAGACTTTTCCACCAAGATCTCCGGATTTAGGAGCACCTCAGAGAGCTCCCGGTTCCACCAACGGCAACAACGGGCCCTATGGGGGAGAGACTAAAACAAAGAGAAAACCACTACATGCAGTCATACAGCAAAACTTTCTGACTGTTTCAGATTTTACGCAGAATTTTGGCTTAAAGCACACATTTGGGCCAAGCAGCCCTTCGATTTACCAGACTTTTCCACCAAGATCTCCGGATTTAGGAGCACCTCAGAGAGCTCCCGGTTCCACCAACGGCAACAACGGGCCCTATGGGGGTTTCCCCGGCGCCACAAACGCCTCTTCTGCGACACCCAGAACTGCCTCTTTTGCAGAGGGCTTCCCGGAGCCGGCACCGGGCGGCC